TCGCTCTCGTGTTTGGTGTTTATTTGGTGTTGCGCCGTTTTTGATGATGGTTTTGAAATGCGTATCGTTCCAATTGTGTAGTGTGTATGTTTATATACCACCACTGCGTAGTAGTATGTTTATGATTATCGATCTATCGTTCCATTTTTATTGGTGTATATTGCATTGATATGGAGTTGTCGAGGTATATTATTGTAGTATAGGCAGCGAGGTTGCAATTTGCTTAAGAATTTGTGACTGTTTCATAATCTTTTGAATATGTCTTCACATTTGTGACTGCTTTGTAATATTTTTACGTAAGATGTGATATTTTAGCAGGTGGTCACTCAACTCAATTTGATACAAATCGCTACACTCTACCAGATAGTTCGACAAGTGAAGAATCACTGCATTCAGTCTCGTCGGCATGTTGCAGTAGTACTGTTGCTGCTGCTGGTGGTGGAACGGGGGGTATTTCGAGTAGACACATCGTCGTGAATCGGGCCGAGGGCGGTGGTTATCTCTCTGAAGGCGATTCGATGCTAATGAGCGCTGGTGGGGCTCATAATAGTAGTGCTACATCTGCAACTGCGAATGCTAATGATATTTCAGTACCGGGTTCGTTATGGTGTCGATTATTGGTTATTGGTTATTGATTGATTGGAAATGTGATCGTGATCAGTACTGATCATTTGTTAAGGTTTAGGAAGGGTGCGGGTGGATGGTATTGGGTGAATAGATTGTTATCTATCGTTCCGTATAATCTAATGTTCAGATACTGAGATAATTACAGCTTAATTACCTGTTGATCAAAGATAATTAGTCAGGTTGTCTAATTAAGATAATTAGTTAATTACTTTAGTGAGATGCGGATACACGAGTGAAGGAGGCCTAAGTAGTTACGCACGAAAGATGCAGGCTCGATTCCGTGAGGGCATTGAGGCGGCGGTACGGGACGGAATGTTGAGGCATAGACAACAGCACGATTATAATGATAGGTCGGATATTTATTATTTATTATTACTGTTATTATTATTTATTGTATGTTATTGTTATTATTGTTTTTATGTTGCTGTGTATTTTACAAATCCAATGTGCAAATGCAGTCGTAAATTGGAGTTAAATGAAAATGGTCTTGGATATTGGGCTGTAAGATTTGAAGTGGTAACGAAATGCGATGTTTTTTATATTGTTGAGAATGTTGAATTGTATGAGATGGTATGATATTTAGCTGCAGCAGATGCAGCAGCACTAATTAAGTGGTGCAGCCTCTTTAGAAGGATAACGTGATGGGGTACGGATTAGATCTGGGAATTTGAATTTGAATTGGATTAGGGGGGGTGATTCGAGATTTGGATTTGATGGGTTGGTTGGATTGATAGATGGATATAGAGCTGCGGGAATGAGTCAATGGGGTTGGATATTGGGCTGTAAGAATTGAATAGCGTGAAATTTGCATATTTAGTCACTCAAAATTGATGAATGTTATTGGTCTTTCATTATTTATTGTCAGATTTGAAGTTAGAGACTTCTGGGGCTTTATCTTATTCAGTCTGGCACACTCCATGGCCATGTGCGCAATTTGATGATCTTTTCGGAAATTTTCATCTCTGGTGGTCATTTTGTCGTTGTCTTTGCTCACTGTCTGCTTCTATGGCGCATGCTATCTAAACGTTTGTTTTTGTGTCTGCCAGTGCTCTCTGCGCATGACTTTTTATCTCTGGCGTTTGATGGTCATTTGAATCGGTGGAAACAAGCGCGTTTAATTAATTCATTATCTTCCTCTGCACCTCTCGTTTTGCTGTAGTATTTTTCGTTCGTTGCTAGTAATTAGCTACAGCAAGACTGTCATTAGGGACGACGACGGAGACAGTGTGGAAATTGAGGAAACGCTGGGAGGGTAAGAGAAAGAAAGACGATGGGAAAGATTGTATGATATGGAGAGTGCGCGAGAGAAGCAAACAGTTTTGAGCATGACTGACCATGGGGACGATTAATTTTTGATGATGAGTCATTTGG